AGGAGCACTTGTGTAGATAAAGTACGGGCAAGACATGATAGTTAAAATATATTGTTGATGGTTTGTTCTTACCTGTGACGGCAGCTCAGCTCTGAGCTCTGTGTGTTACGGTCTGTGGCCCACACTCGTCCTGTTTACTGTCTGGGCCCTGCTGTGGGGGAGGAGCTTAGGAAGGGGGGCTGAGAACAGGGGGAGGGACTTGAAGGTTGTTATCTCTTCAAAATGTTTCTAAGTTCTGGACTTTTAAGAAACGACATACATCAGCTTTAATGTGACAATTTATGAATTAGTAGATTCATAAATTCTATTTCCTCGAGGCACCATTTCCCTTCTATTTTGTTATTTTTACACAGGAAAGAGAAGAAAAAACTGTAACTTTACTGTAATCAGTCTCAATAAATTTACCCAAAATTATCTGATGAGTTATTTTCTCATCAAAATCAATAAAACCTTATCAAGACACAGATAATTAGACGTTGTCTCATATTGACCAGTACTCCACGGGTCATTTATTCACAGATTAAATGTATTTACACGCTATGGTAAGTAGTGTTGTAGTCAAGACCACCTAACCCGAGACCAAGTCAAGACCAAGACCACAGTATCTTGAGACCGAGACAAGACCAAGACATTTAGGGTTTGGATCAAGTCGAGACCAAGACCAAGGGAGGGCGAGACTGAGACAAGACCAAGACCAGATAAAAAAGTGCCCTAAGTGATGGAGTATTGTGTACACATGTACAGTGGGGGAGGTGTTTAGTCTCTCATTGAGGTCTAACTATGATGTCAATCACAGGCCTCTCATCTTTTTAAGTGGGAGAACTTAACTATTGGTGCTGACTAAATACTTTCCCCCCACTTTAGCTAACTTAATATGTACAGCTAATATTGACAAAATGTTTGTGTGAGGGCAGAGGAAAKAATTTTACTACAGAGGCAGATTGTTAACATTAGTGACCTGGCCCGGACTTTCGCAGGGGCTTACGGGGCTGAAGCCCAGGGCCCCGGTGCTTTGGAGGCCCCGCCCCAGAATGACATTTAATTTTTTTGTAAATGAATAGAGCCACGTGCTTTAGCCCCGTATGTTCTGTCATTAGCCCTGGATCAAAACAAGACCTGATTCTTTCTCACTGCCCGCCTCTCCTCCAGGAGGAGTACGGTCCGATTGTGTCACCATCAGCTGTTTGTGCTCCCAAGCTGTGTGTGTGTGTGTGTGTGTGTGTGCGCGTGTGTGTGTGTGTGTGTGTGTGTGCGTGTGTGTGCGTGTGCGCGTG